GGTTATTCGAGGTTGTCTGTCGAGGTTTATTTTTTTTTTTTTTTTTATTTTTCGTGTGCGTTTCACACACAGAAGTAGCGTCACCTTTTGAAGCTGTCGAACGCGGACCGCGTTGGCGGTGCTGCAGGATCGACCTTGTCCCAACCTTCGCTCTTCGAGGTCGTCGAGGTACGGTGTTCGCTGGTGCTCGTGTGATGTCGACTTCAAGTTAGTCACCAACGTGCCAATGCAGAGAGCCAATCAGAAGGCGAGAATAGAAGTCGAGCAGGGGGGAACAGGGGGGCAATTATTATTTTGTTAACTTCGGTGGTTAGTTTCGCATTTAATTCTCCTCTTTCCGCCGATCTTTGTTATTGCCAATGACAGCTAACAACTTCTTTCGCTTTTTTTTTTTTCTTTTTTCGTTTTTATTTTTCTTTCTTTCGATCATCACCTCCACTGCTTCCTGGCGTCAAACGTGAACGAGACTAACTTTTCTAACTTTTTACGACAAACAATTTAGAAATTTTCAAACGATCGCGTTCAATCTGCGAGGAGAGAAGATGTTGGAATCCGTAATTCGTCGCCGAGAAACAGTGCGTGGAGAAGAGGGGAGAGTTTCGAAGAAGGTTCCATTTCCAAGGGTGGAATTAAAATTAATCCGTATTTACACGTGAAAAAGAGGCGGCAAGAATAAATATAGCAGAACTGGAAGTTACAGAAGGCCAGTGTAGTCGAGAAAATAAACCGTGTTTACAGCGTGTCATTGTCTTATACTCTTTCTTCGTTTTTCGGAATTTTCTTTTTTTGCTTCCTCGACTTGCAAAGCGATCTTGTAAAACACAATATCTCTTCGTCAACGAAGAATTTCGTATCGAGAGATCCCCAAATTTCTGCCCACCTTCTCGCATTATTAATTTCTCGAAATTCGGTAATAAATATTTCATCGATTTTTTTCGATTTTTTCGACGAGAGGAAGAGAGGAGGCGAAATTTAGGAACCGCCGATGCAACGCCATTTAACGCCATTTTACACATCACTCGGCGAATCAATAATTAGAGAGTAGGCTAATACCAAGTGTCCGCATCATGCCAATTAGCTATAAGGAGAAAAAAAAAAAAAAAGAAAGAAGAAGAAGAAAAAAAAAAAAAAATTAAGGTAATCTCTCGTAAGCAACCAGCGATCGCGGATTTAATTGCACTGCGTAAAACACGCTGTAATGGAGAGGAGAGGTATGTATTTTTATTCCTACGTAGTTTGTAGGTAAAATTGTTCGTTACAATTTCAATTTCACAAGTTTTTCACTCGAACAATTCTCCCGAACAACGCTGCCAAAATTGAAAAGCCATTACTTGAGAAGAAAAAAATTTGTCCCTCGAGAAAGCCGATCGATGCCGCACTAATTTCGGTTCGGTTAATCGACGCTAAAGCAATCCTCGACCCGTCACGAATTAACTTATCACCGATCCAGGCCGCCTATTTATAGAACACGATTGGACACGATTAATCGTGTTCTTCTTCAGTTTGTTCGAGAAATCGATGTGTAATAAGTCAGGGGGGACGTTCTAAAATGTCTGTTTTGGAAAAGAATAATACCGGTGTTGGTAACGATTTTCCTCGAGAGTGGACAAGATCGATTCGCAATCGATGAATTTCCTTGCGACAATTGAGAAGATATTACATTCGAATAAAATTTTGGAATCAAGGACGAAGTTAATATGATCGAGGAAAGAATTGCCCTTAAAAAAAAGATAAAAAAAGAGGAAAATGTCGTGGCGCGACATAACGTGTTTCATTATCCTCCGCAGCGATACTAGAAATTATCAAACGACAATTTATAAAAGTGTACCTTCTTTTTTCAATGAATGCAAATTAAAATGGAATTTTACGAAGGAAGGAAACGATAAATAAGATTATTTGTTCTAGATTTTATAATACCTCGTTTCCACGATGGTTTCATTCATTCCAAGGTAAAAAGAAAAATCATCAACCACCTTGAACTTTACTTTGCTTTACTTTCCGCAGAAACGGAGACCGATTCCTTGATAAGAAGAGAAAAGTTATAAAAAGAAATTTTCGCAAACGTTGGTTCAAAGGCGAGGAGGAGATTGCTGGCGGTCAGCAAAGGAGGATTCTCTCTCTCTCTTTGGTCGCCCTTTCACGCGGGATAAAAGGCCCTCCCAAGAATGAACAAGTATCGCAAAATGTCTTTGAAACGTGGAGCAAAGAGTCGTGGGAGAGGAGTATAGAGAACAATTATCTGCCGGCTAAAGAGAAAGGTTGTATCTCGACGTGGCGAGTCACGAGAGGTCAACCGGGATCCCTCGAATCGAGTCGAGCTGAAAAGGCACGACGAGCTTTTCCTTCTTGCCAATCTTCTTTTTTCTCTCTCAATTCGAAGGATTCGTTTTCCGTTCGCTGCTTTAAAATGAAAAAAAAAAAGAAAAATGAAAATTTTCTTGCCGAGTTATCATCGATCGTATTGAACAATCCTAATTTCGCGGTATAAAGAATAAAGATAGGACTGAGGACGTCTAATTTATCCCTGGCAAGGATTCAATAAATGGCTTATAAATTTCGCGGTATGGAATGTAAATGTATTTGTACTTGGCCTAGAAAGGTGCTTGAGAAGAAAAATCGGCGGTCGACATTGCCAATAAATCAATCGATCGATCGATCGATGCAAGAAAATTGATCGTGAATGGGATATATTCTTCTTCGATTTTTGTAATAAATCTTCATTGTCAATATTTTTAAAAGTTTAACAAAGTTTTATCTCGATCGAAGCGAAAAATTCCGAGTAGAATTACGAAGAAGAAAATATTACCTCATGCCTTTGTGCAGTCACGAAACAACGTCCTCGTTCTCTTCTTCTTAACGAGGTACACGTCACAAACAAAACTATATAACCAAGTATCGCGGCAGTTCTCTCTCAAAAGAAACTCGTATACGCGCGCGCGCGCGTGCTTCTTAGCATATGGAGTGTGAAACGGTAGGCTAATCGTTTGCAATTCACCGTCTCAACTGTAAACAAATGTATACACAGTAGCTATAAAAGTTTTTTACACATTAACTTACTAATTAATCAAATTCAATATTACGTTATATATTATAATATTGATTGATATGAAAATTTGATTGTTTTGAAAATTAAATAAAAAAAGAAAATAAAAAAAAAAATGCTTCGTTTGAAAACGAAGAATACGTGTAACACAAATACTTTTTGTACGTAGCCGCTGTCGAAGCTCGTCCACAAAGTTTCGAGCATCGATTCGCGATAAGTACAACACAGGGAGCAACACGCAACTTAAACGAAAGATTAATTCTATGCTTACATACGTCTTGCTATCCATTCGATGGATCGTAGATTTCCGTGAAACGTTACGCTGAATTAATTTGATTCAGGTATCATCGTTATAAATAAACCGGCCACTCGAATTCGCCAGAGATTCTAACAGTAATTACCATCAAACAGGATCTTTGAAGTTTGTTTGAGAAATCGCGGTGTTAATTGGAATCAAAAGTTTTAAGGATCGTTTACGGGCAGGATTAATTTTAATCTTTCCGTTTGGCCTATTTTCTTTCAAACTGCTGTATAAATTAATGTGGAGCGTGATGCGCATTCAAATTATACGTAAAAGATGCGTGACCGTGCAAATTAATTCTTCTTCTCGATCGAATAACATTTTCTGTTTACCATTTTTCTATTATATTGCTTGTTCTTTTTTCTTTTTAACATCTTCTACAAATAAAATAAATTTCTTCTTTTGTTTTTCGATTCATTGATCGATCCATAAAGGGATTAAAATCGCATAGAAAACGATCCAATTGATCGAGTCACAAACCAAATGAAGCATTCTAAAAAAACAAGAAAAGGAAATTTTGGAACGAGTAACAGTATTCTCGACTGATTCATCCTCCACGCATAGTGTAAAACATTTTCGAAAGAAGCGCGCGGGAGCATTTATTTCGAACGATACTTGTCTATTTGTGGCTAAGCCGTCCCTGAGCCCCGATTACGTCACCACGGCCACGTGACTCGTTGAATCTCATAATGGTCCATATTCGCCTCCCACGTATCGATGCAGAACGACGATCCATCCGTACACCTGCTTTCCTCCTCCAATCGTTTACTCTTGGGATCAAAAGAAATGAATCGAAATCTGATTTTTAGATACTCTAAAACTCTTGGGTATCTGAAACTTTGGAAAATCTCGAGACACTGGTACTGAAGAAGATTCAGAAGCTTTTTATAAAAAATTTTGAAATAATCTATCTATAATTAAAATTATCCAATATACTCGATATACCTTTTACTTAATTTTTATACAATTCAACATTTTTCACACAAGTATATTCTCTTTTGTTTAACGAGCATAGAGCATAGAACCTAACCTAAAAAAAATCTTTTACATCGAAATGAAGTGAGAAGAAATTCGAGTGGAATGATTTTGAAAATATGTATTCGTTATTTAAATTATTTTTATTCATCTTACAAAATATAAGATGATACGAATGATTTTGTTTTTTATTTGTATGAAATTTAGATTTGATATTTCAAAAATTAGATATTTTTCTAACCGTTTAAATTGTAGACACTATTTTAGGAACACACGGCTTGCGAGACTTGGTTTCCACATGCTCTCGACAACGTTTGAATGATTTATAACATTTAACCAACATAGACCTTGACGGCTAACCTTCTCCGCATTATTTCAAAAAGCTTCTGATGGATTTCTGATACTTCCACGCTTCGCTTGTAAACGCGATGTTAATAGGATATTTCATATTTTATGGAAACTCGAGAAAGTTGCACGGAAGCTATTATCTCTTCTCTCGTTATACACGTAAGATGGTATATAACACAAAATCTTTCTTTACAAAGTTGCGAATCATGTAAAAATATCGAAAGCAATTTATTTGCACGAGAATAGAATTGATGAATATATGATAAAAATGTAACAAGAATTTGAAAAATTGATTGCAAATTTGATCGATAATAGAATTGTTTTAGAATTATGTATTGAATTTTTGGAAGCAAACGTTCATGCATATTCCTTTCGAAACGAAACCGTACCGACATCTATACAGCCGCCATAGTACATGCCAGTGTTTTTCAACCTTTTTTGATGTTCGAATAACTTGCGATCTCCTTCGATAAAGTAAGGTAAGAAATATTAAAAAAAAATCAACTAAAAATCATAATGTCATTTCATTTAATGTCAAAAAGTGACGACAAACGAAAAGTCGGAAATAGCTTGCGATCCACAGGTTGGGAATCACTGGTGTATACAAAAGTTCACGCTATGCCTGGAGAGAAGCCAAACGAAAAACGCAAAAATGCAAATCTGCTTTTATGCATGGCCACCTACCGAAGTTTGATCACTGTTTTGTGATCCGGTGGATATACATTCCGGTCGATTATGTCCATCAGTTCACAATTCGTAATTTACCGACACGATCGAAAAGAAATTGGAGAGGAACGATTCGATATGTCGGCTGCAACGAGGTTAGAAAATTACTGCGCAAAATATCGCGGGATCAACGCAAGCTCCTCACCTTTTCCACACGTTGCAAATGCAATTTAGTTCACGATTCCGAGTGGGGACACACCGCCATTGCGACGTGTCATTGTCAAGGATATACATTGACGCAATAAACATTGCTTTTAAGAAAAGAGGATTTACTTTAACGATTCTTTAAATTCCATTAAGAGAATATACTTACGGTGAGTATGCTCGAGTCAGGATTAGGTTAGGTATTGGTATATTCTTCGAATAGAATTAAACTCTCTGTACATTTGATTTAAGAATGTGAAAAATGCTATTATAGAAGTCAATACTATTGTAAAGTATTATGATATGCGCGATATGTAATCGACACTCTATGTTCATTCTAGGTTATGTCATTTATATCACGAATCGTTCGAAGTGTTTTTTAATATCCAACGTGATTAAATTACAAATATTGTAACACGTCGTAATATAGTATCAATTGTTTTTAACGAGTAACGATTTGAAAACATCTCTGCTCACGGAAATGCAAAATAGTATTGAAAAGAACGTTTTTTGCTGGATGACGCGATGATGCCGTATTATGAAGTATTTAACGAGATTACAGGAAGAAGCGTGTTCTTTGTCACTGCAACAAGTTGTGTTAAACGGTCACCCATTATGCAATGTATCGTTTCGACTAATGACCGACATATGTCATTCATTTACATAATGATTGACAGATGAAAAATTGTCATATATCGTTCAATGTCTAACCAATTTCGATAAAGTTCGTTATTAATCAAGATTTTTAATATTTCCGAATTATAATTTTATGCAATAAAGGAATAAATTTTGTTTTTATTTGTTAGAATGTACAATTTAACGAATTCTTATTGCCGAATTATAATTAATAATTATAAATTTTTAAAATTGTAATTCAAATAAATAATAGTATAAAATATACAACTGATTTATTCAATTTGACAAAAGAATCTGATATCAACAAATTGAAGAATATATATATATATATATATATATATATAATAAAAAGTGTGTATAAAATGCTAAATAAACACTAGAGATAATATTTATCTTTTGATTTAATCTAATCTTACACGCTATTTCACTTTTTTAAATTGGATTATTCGAATCTAATTTTAAGGCGGAGGATTATTTAATCGATCCGTTTTACGAGCACATAAAATTCCTTGTCTCTTTATTTAAACACGGTTCCTCCCTTTATTCGTTTGGAATTCTTCTAAAAAAAGATACTCAAATGAGAACAAACGAACGAAAGTACATCGAAGGTGGATAAGCAAATTTTTTCATTCAATCACAGATCGAGATCATCGATAAAAATCTAAGAAAAAATCATGAATATTCACGATAAATTTTGCACGACCTAGATACACATTTGCCAACACGAACTCGAGAATCTGTAGAATTTTAGTTGAGGTTATTTTCTGAAATTTTTCGAAACAGAGGGGAAGAAAGAAATTCCCCAAGGTGGCAAACGAGGAGGATTCTCCAGAATTTATGTTGGAGGGTGAACATGCAGTACGACCGCTATTAATTCGTAAAGCTTCTCTTCGAAATTCGCCTTGAAACGTGAGATCTTAAATCTTTCGAATCGTTAAATTTTGCTATCCCCTATAAGGGTGAAAATTAAAATTTTTTTGATACTTTTTCATGATACTGATTAAATTGAATTATCCTGGAAAATCATGTTATAAAAAAAAATACCAGTTTTCGAAGAATCGAATAATAAATTTAGAACAACGATTCTATAATTAGTAGTTTCATCGCATAGCGAGCCACGATATCCAAGATCGAACAGGCCTCCTATTAAAATAACACGACTGTTAGCTTTTGCGGTGTTGGCATGCAAAAACCGTGGCATATGGCACGCACTCGTTTCATCCATCCCAATTCGCGTCCCATTTTATGTGAATTGCACCTCAAGAAATTTTCGAATCAACAAATATGTTCCAAATTTTTCAAAAAAATATTATTATAGCGAATGAAGAAATGAAAATGCTATACGAATAATTAATCTTAATCTGTAATTTTATATATAATATACTTGGAATTTAAGTGGATAGACAAATACTATAATAATAATAATAATAATTTGTCATCTTCAATTAAAAAATTTAAATAAATAAATATTCGATTTGAAAACAAAAACGTTTGCTTATCGAACATTCTAATTCTAAAGAATAATCTTTATTGTTAACTTCGCTTGAAATTAGGAATTCAAATGTTACTTTGGATCAAAAAACGAATAGATATATTCAAATTTCTGTGTTCAAGGACACAAAGACTTTACAGATCTTCGAGAAGGCGTGTATCGAGAGAGAAGGAGCAGGTGCAAATTTTCGTCAGACGGAATCGTTTGTTTTTCGTTTACCCCTTGGGCGAGAAAGGCACGCCAGAGAGGGCTCTCCTCTCGCCCGTTGTTCGTAACGAACGTACTGACGAAGTCTCTATAAATAGCGGGTGCGTTACTGAAATACGTGAAACGAATATGTATACGTATGCATTCACAAAAAAAAAAGTTAATGTCGCGACCTTAATTTACATTTTACCAACGATCAAACGATAAAAGCACATTTTTTTCGTTATTTCATCGTAACAAATACCTGGCAAATTCTAGAACAGTTATGTGTCATCGTTTCACGAGAAAACTTCTTTATTACATAGTTCGATACATCTTTGAATTTTTGTTCATGATAATATAAAATCAATCAAAAATTTAAAATATATGCAAAAGAACTTTAAGAAATATATTTTTATAACATTACAACAGTTTTTTTTATCGCATATTATATATCATCACGATCATTATGGAACTCTGTAATCGATTCCAAGAATTTTTTTTCAACTATCGGAATATTAATGATCAACATCATCTTATTCGTATAGCACTCTGTATAAAGCGTGTGTATATATGCTGGTAGTTCAGGTAACGCGAATGCAGTGTTATGCTAATTTGTGCTAAAAATCAACACTCGTTGTGCAATCGAGCAAACATCGATTCACGAAAAAATTAAGTGGCGGATAATTGTTGCGCCTCCTGGAGTATGGAATGAATGTTTATGATTTGTTAATTGATTTGAAATGACTGGTCGATTAATTTCAATACTTGTTCAATTTTTATAAATATTTTTAAATTCAAAATTCAATATTTATATGTATTACGAATGAAGTTTTACATGTTCCTCTATGTATTGTAAAATATACGTATGTATTATAATTTCCTGATCGGTGATAAAATTGATTTTATCAGCTGACTTGAAAAACAACTTCGCGCCTCAATCGATCAGATGATTTGAACACGTATTTTAAACGATAATAATTTACGGGAAACTTATTATATATACGTATAATATTCTTATTATAAAAGTGCAGCATCGATCGAATTTATTTATTATTCTAACAAATAAATATTTAATCATGAGAACGCAAGAAATAAAAAATGAGAATAAATGCCATTAGAAAAAAATAAAAATGTTTCTTATTTTTGCAGCGTTGATATATACTTATTTAATTTCACGACCATCGATCATCAATACTCTTTAACTGTTAATTACGACGAATTTCTTGAACACATGCTAAACTATATTAGATGGAACATTTGTATTCGTAACGGTGTTGCGATTATGTAAACAAAAGATTCTATAATCCCATAGATGTAAACGGAAATGTAAGAAACATTTGGGTTTCAAAATTTTCTGTTTAATTTTCAATCTCGTATTTGTCATCTTATATTTATAATTCATAATTTTGTTTCATATCACATTTTTTTTTGAAATTTTTAAATATTCTACTTTATACTTCAGATAATAATTATTATTACGAAAAAGATGAAAACGAAAGTTCGATTTCAGAAATTCATCAAAATCCAGTAAAAGAGTAAAAGAGTAATTGTACCGGTCGTGCGCGTGTTAAAAGGTTAGGTGCGTCTCGGCAGCAATGCCGGTAGCAACATACCTGGTAGTACTCTTAAAGAAGTTGTTGCTTTCGCGATTCATCAGCTCGCTTCTGAATCGTGACATCTCGTCCTCCATCTTTCTCATCTCGGCGTCGAAGCGTTCCCGTATGTTGGAAAATTCGGTGTCTATTACGCTGAAGTCACCGAGCTTGATAGGAATATTACGCTTGATACCACTGTCAGCCATGATTTTTGTATAGGTCACACTTGTGTTTCCTTACACCAAAAGCCACTGAAAGATGTACGAGCTCGTATACCAATAAGAAACACTGCTATCGCGAACGATTGCTTTTGATTGCAAATATTGTTTTCGACCACGTACAACCGTACCACACGATGTCTCGCCTAAGAATGAGCGCGGCTCACCGAATCCTGCTTAAATAGTCGCGATTGTCGCGACGCTGTCCCTCAACTGTTCGTGGGAGTTCGTTACTGTTCGGTATTTTCCGGAAACGCTCGGATTCGTGCACGCGGTCCAAACCGAGAACGAAATTTCACGAAGTTTAAATCAGATCTGAAAAAAATTTGTTTGATACGATTTTTGCAAATACAATATACAAATATTGCAAATATTATAAATTAAATTTATCATTTATTTATAAGGTATATTATTTTCTATTTTTATAAAAATTATTGGTAGAAAAATAATAAGGAGAAAAGTGTAAATAATATAAAATATTTTAAGTTTTTAAAGAAAAATTGGATCTTCTATGTATCTTCTATCATAAATCGACGAATACGAAAATAAACTAATGCATACAATGTTTCTCAAGATAAATATGATCTAACAATAAAAAGTATTAGTGGATGATTGGATTATGATTCCGTATTTGAATTATCTGTTATATTTTATTGTTTTTTTTTATTATTGTTATATTGTTTTATACGAGAGATGATGACTAATATATGATCATATGATCATTCCCTTATTGATTGTCTTTAACTCGAAGATGTGCATACATGTGTGTGCATAGAAGATTTGATTTCGGTATCAAATTTCGAAAAATTTCATTTCCTCGTCATTATATAAAAATACTTGTACAAAAAAATTTATTATGTATCTTTATTTTTTTTTTCTAGAAGAATTAAATTTTTCAATAATAAAAAATTCGAATTTTTATATCACGGTCATAAAATGTTAAGGTATTAATGAAAAATATTCACGGATAATCCTTTTTGCACGATATTAATTGAACGATTAGATTACATGGTGAATCAAGAGTATTTTTAAATCAACATCGCTCGTGAAAGTATCAAGACGTCAATTATCATGTCGACCCGATTATGCAAATTTGTTTTCTGGTAAATTTACTTAATCTTTACAGTTGCTATATTTAACGACATTTTTACCGACGAATATATATATATATATATATATATATTTTACTCGTTCAATAATATCTATGTCAAATTAAATAAAATTCTATGCAATCAACCTCTTATTATTATTTCAAAATTCATTTAAAGTGGAGAAAAATATTTCTCTACGCTTTACAATTTAAGAAAAAAACTAATTTAAATTAAATTAACTAAATAAAAATTGAAGAAATATTGTTACGAATTTACTATCAATTATTATTATTCTGACACGAGCGAGTAGAAAATGAGCAGCATAAAATATTATATTATGCCGATATTTTCTCGAGAACTATTAAAAAATAAAATGCGTTTCTTGTGCTATTTTTTTTTTTTTTTTTTTTATTAGAGGAAAAAACCATTTCAAGATTATTTTTTATTTTCAACAACCGGTGCCATTTTGCCCGGTTCAATTCGCAGAACAATTCAAATTATCCGTAGAAATTCTCCTCGATAATATTTCTCGAACGACGACATTTTTCTTTCATACACCAATCCGTTCCCCCATCGCAATCGTATCACGCGTGACCATCATTTACATTCCATTTTCTCCTCGTACGCGTCGCTCTACTACATTCTTGTTAATCACGCGTGAACATTCAGGTGCTTTAATTTGGGCAACGGGGGAGAGATGGCGAAGGCCGCGGTTACTACACGCATAACTTTCTGTTTACGTCTCTCGTGGAACTACGTGAGATTTTTTTCGTGGCATTAAATCACTGCTGCAAATGATGCCCGCTGCTATTTTCGCACGTTGCACCGCGTCACACGCGCCGAACTGAATGGAGCGACGCATCACAACGCCTCCTTATTGTTCATAAATAGTTTTGCCGGTTTCGTGCTCGACGAGTTCCGATGAATCAAACAGTGTGGAATGTTTTCTCGCAATCCGTCAACGTGACGATGTAAGGATAAGTACGAGTATAGTTGGACGGAACCAATTAGGGGGGAGAGGATTGAATCACACCCTTTTCTCGACCAAACCAACTAATAATCCTCGTAACGATATCGTATTGTCACGAAATCTATTTAAAATTCGCTAATAACGAAGATTTAAATGCGAATCGATGATGAATTTGAGAAAAAAATGATGAGTTCATTCTCTCGATAAGAATTTCCTAATATGATAAAACCTAGTCAATTTTATTGAGTCACGGGATCGTGGGCGCGATTACTAGGCAATGAAAATAAATAAGATGGGATTGCAACCTTCGTTTCTATTCCCTTTTCAGTCTTCGTTTACGTGTTAGAGGTATGTTGCGATATTTAACGAAGTATAATAACATTTTTCGTTATTTAAAGAAACTTTGCTTTCGTAAACAGGCGAATAAAATTGGACAGGATAATCTCCTTTTTTAATCTTCGATCGATTTTTATTACTTTATTTTTGTTTTCATAAAATACAGCCCAGCTCGTCTTCCAGTTCGTGAGACAAAGATCCCCAATGGCTAGCGCCATTAAAATTTATCGCGGTAAAAGTGTATACATCGTGGAAGAGAAGGGAGAAGGACTGGTGTTGTTGACGAAGTGTGTCAATGTCAAACTGTCCAAGCCTCCAACACGTTGTCTTGGAACTCTCTTCAAGAAAACGAAACTCTCGTTTCTTCCTTTTCTTCTTTCTTCAAACGTCTTCACGAAATCTTTTAAGTTCTTGCCGGCTTCACGTGGGAGAACGTGGTTAATATGACGTCACCTTTGTGGGTGTTTCACCGATCGATAAAACACGCGTCACAATATGGTCTCTCTAATATGGATTGATCTTACGTTTTCGTAACGAAAACTATACATGTTGTTGCATCTATATTTTGAGGATAATATTTCCTTCTGGGGAATGGTGATTTGAAAACAATGATTTTTCCCATTCATTGCAAGAATAAAAGCTTAAAGATGCTTAAATGAAATTTATTATTTATATAAACGCGTGAAAAATCGAGAATATAACGTAATATTTATCTAAGAGGAAATATATCAAACAGGAAACAAATGCGTCTCATAATTTCCCCCCAAGAAATGATTTTACTTCCACATATCTAAGAAATCCAATTTATTAAAACAATTTATTGAATAATTACATTGTTATGCCAGACAAGAGACAGAACCGAAACTGCTTGCCAATTATCTAGCACGATATACAGAAGAAAACAACGGAGATTGTAGAAAAGATAGTACACTTCTCTTCACCACACGCCACTGACTATTAATAGTTGACGAAGTCCGAGAGAGAGAGCTATAGCGACCGAGGCCAAATTCGATCGTATCTGAATTCTTTACTCGTTCGACCCTTTCGACCGTCATTCTTTGACGATTCAATGTCGAGGGTATCGTGCGAATTGGTATCATTTCTCTTCCTTCGTGCTAAATTTTTCCAAATTTTTCTTTATAAGAAACCAAGAAAAAAGTAAAATTGACAAATGTTCAAATATTGAAAATTTAAAAACAAAGAAGAAGCTATTGACTCATCTTTTCTTTTTTTTAAATTATAGTTTTAATTGTAAATTATACAAAAAAAAACAATACAAACATGGATAATTTGTTGCAAACAATTTGTTATGAGGAAGGAATATTTAGGTGTTAATGACACTGACGGAAGTATAAAAGTAATTTCATTCAATTTTTCAGTAGCAAGCAGACAATGCGCACTTAATAGTCATTTGTACTTGACTTACTTATTGTTAGATTGAATGAGGAGGTTGGTGTGGTCGTACGACGATTTCGCATCACTACTAAGTAAGTACTGACATGTGGACAAATGGGGCCTAAGGTTAACGCGCCATGATGTCATTGTCTGATATCATAGTATCCATCTTTTACTTTAACAGTCGGACAAAAATAATTCAACAAAACTGTTAAGCTTTCATTGAGATTATTTTAACTTCAATCCTCATGATAATTCAGTGGATGAAATCTCGCAATAATTTATATATACGTATGACAAATCTAATTTCAATATTTAGGATCTTAAAGCTTATATTTTTTTCCCCCGATTATATTCTTTCTTTAACCATTCCTAGATGATTAAATATTATAACATTGAATTTTCAACAATTTCTTTGCAAATTCATGAAATATGATCTTGATCGGTTTGTTGTAACATTCGCGCTATGTGACTCTGCAATATGATCTCACTGCAATTACTTATAACATTCACGCTTATATTTGCTACGTAAACGAAACATCCCGAATAAATTTTCAATACCTAAATTATTTTTGTTTGTTAAATCATATTTTATATAATAATTACAATAGACATTTAAATATTATTGTTAATAAAACATGTTATATAGATAAAATTCGAGAAAAAAATAACGAAAAAAAACCTTCGTAAATTAAAAATTAAAATTATAAAAATTAGAAAACATGAATTATTCTTTGTTACAATATACGTGCTTAAAAAAAAGTCAGTATAACACAAGTACCTAAATGCAGTGATGGCCAATGTCACTGCCACGAATAAACTAATAATACGTAATGTGATGACAAACGTCTGTAGTGCATATATAATCATGATTGTGCAAGTGTAATTCTTTTATAATTTATTTTTCCTTATACATTTGTGATGTGACATCTGTGATTGTTCGCTTTATTAAAGCTTTCAATACTTATCAAAGCTTTCAATACTTACAAAAATAATTATATATTGATTGCATTTCATTAATTAAATAATGATAACGATAAATAATACTAATTATTACGAAGAAAAATATATATTATCATTCTTTAATTATATTTTTAATTTAATTATTAATGAAAAATTATTTCAATTCTAAATTTATTTTTAATTTTTTATATAAACATATAATAAATAGAATAGCAATAGTCAATATAGTAATAATTAATTAGAAACATATAAAAAAATGAATTCCATTTGAAATATCTTCCATTAATGCTCTATACATATTGATTTTAAGTCCCTCTTATGTTCAATATCGGTACTAAGATATTTTAGAAAGTTTGTCAACAATCATGAAAAAACGTATAAAAGATATTTCTGATAGAAAACAGTCAGATACTATAGATAATGAAAAAAAACCATTTAACAAAAAACAGTATAGATTAAAAAAATATAGTAACAAATACAAAAGTATGTTTTGAAATTGTGCGAGTAATAAAATAATATACGTATAGGTTAGGTTCAATATATTTGTGAATATTATTTAATTTTTTTAATTGTATTATTTACCAGTTAATCAATGGGAGGAACGCAGGAAGAAAGCTGTTTTACGAGGTTTTTACAAACAAATTGATAAAAACCAACAACAAAATGTAAAAAAATCATTTGCTTTCAAAGTCAATGATCAAAATGAGTATGTATTATTAAATTTCATATAATTTCAAATAAATTAAAAAATTCACATTAATCATTAAAAAGAACTTTATCTTTTAAAAGGACACAACCAAAAAATTTAAGTGCTTTTCACAAGGCTAAACAGGAATTTCTACGTAAACAGGATGAAAAAAGGAACAAAAAGAAGAAGCTTTACGAGTAAAAACAGAAAGGGAAGAAGCACTTAAAAATTATAAAGAAAGAAGGATGCAAACATATAAAAAACTGTCAAAGAAAACAAAAAAAGGACAACCTGTAATGAAAGATAGATTAGAAATGTTATTGGAGAAAATACAGCAACAAGTATCAAAATAATAATAATAATATTCTAAAAAGATATAATGTTGTTTTTAAAAATATCTTAAAATTATTGTCAATAAATTTAATTATTTAATAAACATATATATATTTGTATATATAATGACAAATAAATTTTATTGAAATCTCTGTAAATAATATATCGTAAACAATTTATATATAATCCTATTAATTTTTGTGCAAGTTAATTTATTATTTATTTATTTAAATTAAAAATGAAATATTAGGATGTTAGTTTTTTTTTAAGAATTTAAACATTTTTAGCTATAAATAAATAAAATATAATAATAGAATAAAAACATTTTTTGCTATATCATCGTATGTTTAATAATTTATATATAAATTATGAAAGCTTTTTTTAATTTTGTAATATTCTTTATATTTTAAGTAACCTTATTATTTATAATATCAATACAAAAGTTTTATAATTCTATATATGAAGTTTCATAATTTTTTTTTTCGTTAAAAAATGATTTATTAAAAAATATTAAATTATTATTATAACGTTATATCTTAACGTTATCATTATTAAAAAATATTATTATAATAATAAAATATTCATATGATACATTAGAATCAATAACAATAACAGTAATTAAAATTTTTCTTAAACATAGATTGTAAATGTAAATATAATTCTAAAAATAAACGATCGATGAAATTGTATGGAATTTAAAATACAAATTTACCCGCGCAATATTTAGCGCGCAAGCGTAGTGGCATTTGACGGGCAGCCGTCAGCTAGTCAACGGTTGCAAATGGCGACAGCCACGAAATCTCTGGCACCGACTCGCGAATAGTTTCACGCATACGGAGTACTACGTGACCAAGCAGTGCGTGAACATTACCTTAACCCAGATCGGTATGTACTTAAAACTGATCCGATAATCAAGATGTCTAGCAGATAACATTTTTCCTCAAAAAACATAGTTGCAGTGATTGCACTCGCCACCCGTACGACAGGTCATGAAAGACAAAAAGCCATTATTCGACTTATCTATTCTTTCGAAAATTTTTTGTTTGTTTGCTCGATCGATATGTGATGATTTTTGCGTAATTTCTTAATGAAAAGTGCTATTATTTTTAGATATATTCTCAAGAGTTTTCGCGTAATGAGAATCACTATCAGCATTTGCACCCTAGTGCTGTCAAAAACTGTTTGTCGTCGTAATCTAGGACGCGGTACCGGCTTAATCACTCGATTTTTCTTCGAACATCAAAATAGATCTTTACTTTACATGATTTATTCTTCTTGTTTCTAACATTCATATAATATATAAGTTTTATTGGCTAATATCGAACACAAATATAATATAGAGGATACTTTTTTAAATTTGCTTGGGGGACCAAAGACCTTATTGGAATATTCTTAATTAACGAATATCATTAAGATTATTTTCTTGAATCTTTCTCTATGTATTTATTTTATATTATTAAATAATAGCATATATTTACAAGTTTATATAAATTTTCATCAATTATAATAATATAATGCTTGATATTAATCCAGTGATAAAATTTTATTGACTTCTATATATATATTTTAATATTATTATACATCTAAATTCAATTTCATTAAATATTGTTTCAAAATTATAAATTATATTATGTACTTTATTTTCTTATAAACATTTATATAGTTAAAATTTATAATTATAATAAAAATTATAATTCTTATAGATAGAAATTAATACTACATTTTAATAGAAATTTTGTTTAATTTATTAAAATATTTCATATATGATAACAAATTTTTTTAAATCAATTTTATTTCACAGGTGGTTTGAAATAGACCAAGACAAGATGCCGGCTGTGAGAGGAGATGGCATGCGTGGTCTGGCTGTATTTATTTCTGATATTAGAAATTGTGAGCTAAAAGATATACTTTTTTTAAAAATATATTTTTAAAAATTTATTGCATTTTATATATAATAACATTATATGTGTGTGTGTGTGTGTGTGTTATATTATTTGGTAAAGAATACAAATTGATTTTTGAATCATTAAAATTTTAACCTATGTTTCGTTAAGAGATATGATGCCATTGAAATTAATATGACACATATGTATATTTAAAGTATTGAAGAGTAGGAGACAGGGGGCGGAATACTGATATAAGCCTATCTTTCTGATATAGCTTGTATTTCAAACACTAATATGTAATACTTGGCATAATACAATGAATGAATATCAAAACTATTCCAGTTATTTTAAGAAATAGTTATATATGAATATAAAATAAAATAACATATAAAAAAAAGATCTTAAATATATAATATTTTTATTATTTAATGTAATAAATAATTACATAACATAAGAAATTGATTTTTATAAAGCAAATCAATACATCTATATTTTGATACTAGTCCAAATGGCATGCAGCCATTATAATTTTTTATAAAAATATTATCACAATATATAATATTTATTTATATTCAATATATATATATTATCAATATTGAAATAATATATTATAAAATTATAAATTTTATTTATTAATTTTTTATTTTCTTAGGTAAAAGTAAAGAAGCAGAAATTAAGAGAATAAACAAAGAGTTGGCAAATATTCGTAGTAAATTTAAAGGAGACAAGACACTTGATGGTTATCAAAAAAAGAAATATGTTTGTAAGCTCCTTTTTATTTTTTTACTTGGTCATGATATTGATTTTGGACATATGGAGGCTGTTAATCTACTTTCATCCAATAAATATTCAGAAAAACAAATTGTGAGTGTTACAATTTTTAAAAAAAATAGTAAATATATAAATATAATTATATATATGATTGATAAATATGATATATTATTATTAAAATATTTTGAATTATATAAATATATATATGCATTATATATTTTAGGGCTATCTTTTCATATCAGTTTTAGTAAATACAAACAGTGATCTTATTAAATTAATAATTCAAAGTATAAAAAATGATCTTGCATCAAGAAATCCAATTCATGTAAATCTTGCATTACAATGTATTGCAAATATTGGCAGCAAAGAAATGGCAGAAGCTTTTGGCAATGAAATACCAAAATTACTTGTTTCTGGGTATGTATAAATGTTTTTTATTCTTTACTATTTATTTATAAATCTTAAAATAATTATAAATTATTTTTCAATTTTCTAGAGATACTATGGATGTTGTAAAGCAAAGTGCAGCATTGTGTTTATTACGATTATTACGTACTGCACCAGATGTTGTTCCTGGTGGAGAATGGACATCACGCATAGTTCATCTTTTAAATGATCAGCATCTTGGTGTTGTTACAGCAGCTGCATCTTTAATAGATGCTCTAGTAAAAAGAAATCCAGACGAATACAAAGGATGTGTTAGTTTAGCAGTTTCAAGATTGAGCAGGGTATGATATAATTTGTGTTAGTTTGATTCATAGTCAAAAAATAGTTTTTTAATCTTTATTCTATCTCAATAGATTGTAACATCAAGCTACACAGATCTACAGGATTATACGTATTATTTTGTACCAGCACCATGGCTATCTGTTAAACTTTTACGATTATTACAGAATTATACACCACCTGGTAAATAATTTTTAAATTTCATAATATAAAGGAAAAATATTAAAATAATAATATTTTATTTTTATATTTTTAAATGTTTTAATAGCTGAAGATCCAGGAGTAAGAGGTAGATTAAATGAATGTCTAGAAACTATATTAAATAAAGCTCAAGAACCGCCAAAAATCAAAAAAGGTGCAACATTCGAATGCAAAAAATGCTGTGTTATTCGAAGCCATTAGTTTAATTATTCATAATGACAGTGAACTGCCTTTATCAGTCAGAGCATGTAATCAACTCGGTCAATTTCTATCTAATCGTGAAACTAATCTTCGCTATTTAGCACTTGAATCCATGTGCCATTTAGCTACATCAGAACTGTCACATGAAGCTGTAAAGAAACATCAAGAAGTTGTTATTCTTTCCATGAAAATGGAAAAAGATGTATCTGTTAGACAACAAGCTGTTGATCTTTTGTATGCTATGTGTGATAAAAGCAATGCTGAGGAAATAGTTCAAGAGATGTTGAATTATCTCGAAACTGCTGATTATTCCATTAGAGAAGAAATGGTTCTTAAAGTGGCGATTTTAGCCGAAAAGTATGCTACCGATTATACTTGGTATGTTGACGTCATTTTAAATCTCATTAGGATAGCTGGTGACTATGTTTCGGAAGAAGTATGGTACAGAGTTATTCAAATTGTTATTAATAGAGAAGATGTACAAGGATATGCTGCAAAGACTGTTTTCGAGGTAAATAATATAAATTTATAATTATATTAATATATGTTATATTATTACCATAATATTTTTAATATAAATTTAAGTATATTCTTTTTATTATATAAAATTTATTGTATAATCAAATTTCTATATTAAATATTAATATTTATTAGGCTTTACAAGCACCAGCTTGCCATGAAAATATGGTTAAAGTTGGTGGTTATATACTTGGAGAGTTTGGAAATCTTATTGCTGGTGATCAACGATCTTCTCCAGCTGTTCAGTTTCAATTATTACATTCCAAAGTAAGTTTTGTAAATCTTTATATAGTTAAAAATTTATACATTAAATATTTACATTTTCTTTTTCATTTTATTTTTCAGTATCACTTATGTTCTCCAATGACTCGTGCATTGTTACTTTCGACGTACATTAAATTTGTTAATCTGTTTCCTGAAATGAGAAGTCAAATTCAAGATGTCTTTAGACAACATAGTAATTTACGCAGTGCAGATGCAGAATTACAGCAAAGAGCTTCAGAATATCTTCAATTGAGTATTATCGCTTCTAGTGATGTTTTGGTAAATAAATTAATTTTAATTCGATTTATTTAAAAATATGTTATGATTCTTAAAAGAAAAAAGAAACAAAGTTTATATAATTCTATACATATCTATAACTATTTATTATTCTTTTTATAGGCTACAGTTTTAGAAGAAATGCCAGCATTTCCAGAAAGAGAATCTTCTATTCTTGCAGTTTTGAAAAGGAAAAAACCAGGTCGAGTACCAGAGAATGAAATTAGAGAAAGTAAAAGTCCAGCTCCAAATACTAATCATCATGCAGAAGCTCCTAGTAGTGTAACAGGAGCTGTTAATAATACATCAGCAGA